ATATTCGAGAATGTTTGTATTCTTGTTAAATAAAATTGTCAAAAAATTGACGGAAAAGGTGCTAGTGTGACACGGCCTTTAGCTAGTGAAGGAAGGAATACTGACGGCGACGGCCACGAAGGCGAGGAGGAGAGCGACTCTGGCGACCATGGTGGAGGTGCTACTGACGTCGACGAGAGCTGCCGCCGTTTATATCCTCAGAAGACGGCCTCCCTAAGCCTACGGCCACCCAGCGAGGCCGCAGCTGGAAGGTCTCAGAGCCGAGACAGATGCTGATTTCATGTTGTTGTTCTAATTCCGTCTCGACTGAACAAAATGCATTTATACATATCAGTGCATACATATATATATTTAGTATGTACATACATACACTTACACATGCAAACAAACAAACACACGAGCAGATATATACAATATATGTATATATATATATATATATATATATATATATATATATATATATATATATATATATATGTGTGTGTGTGTGTGTGTGTGTGTGTGTGTGTGTGTGTGTGTGTGTGTGTTTACACATTTACAAACACACACACACACATATATAGATACATACATACATATACATATGTATATATGAATGTATACAGATATGTATATATACATATACATATATATATATACATACAAACATATATATATATATATATATATATATATATATATATATATATATATATATATAATATATATACGAGTACACACATCACATACACACATATATATGTATATATATGTGTGTGTGCGTGTGTTTATTTGTGTGTATACACACTTTTATGTACATATACATGTATATTTATTTATATACGTATGTATATATATGCATGATATATACATGTTTATATGCATATATATATGTATTCACACACAGATATATATATATATATATATATATATATATATATATATATATATATATATATATATATATATATATATATATATATATATATATATATATATATATATATATATATATATAATATATATATATATGTGTGTGTGTGTGTGTGTGTGTGTGTGCATACATACACACATGCATGTATGAGTGTACAAATTCATTTAGCATATATGATGTATTATACATATATATACATGTGTGTGTGCGTGTGCGTGTTCGAGTGCACTTGTGCTGTGTGTTTGCGCGCCCCTGGAGCGCGCGTGTGTCTGTGTGCATATATTTAATATGTATGTATATATATATGTATGTATGAATATATGTATACACATATCTATATATTAAGTACATATACGCCTCACACACACATACATATATTATATATACATATATATATATATATATATATATATATATATATATATACACACATATATATATACATATGTATATACATATATTATATACATATATACATATATACATATAAATATATATACATATATATACATATATTTATATATCTACATATACACACACACGTATATGAATACACATATACATACATACACACGCATACATATATATATATATATATATAATATATATATATATATATATATATATATATATATATATATATATATATATATATATATATATATAATATATATATATATATATATATATATTACACACACACACACACATATATGTGTATGTAATTATATACAAACATAAATCTATCATATCATTCACATCTAAGTAAATATATACACAAATATTATACATAAGTATGTCTATTTTTGCGAATCTAGAGTTTGTAGTTGCACGAGGTGGGAATTCGCAACGGAATGGGTAGCCTTAGGCATGAAACGAAAGGGAATTCCCCGTTTTAGGTAAAGGGATTTGGCCAGCGTTCCCACCGCGCTTCAGAGTAGGCCTAGATAAGACCTTGGATAAGATAGGCACCGAAGCGCCGTCGGTACTTAAGCAGCGGCTGGCCAAGGAGGCCTCAGCAGCGCCTCCACCATGGTCGCCAGAGTCGCCCTCCTCCTCGCCTTCGTCGCCGCCCGCCGCCGTGAGTATTCCCGTCGCTTCGCTCGCACTCGAGTCTCCGTGCGGACGAAGCCTTCCGCTTGGCCTTAGAGTTTTCGGCTTTCGCCTTCGGAAGACTTCGAATGTAGCAGTAAGAGCAAACTTGTAAGTTATCTGGATTTGATAGTGCATCTGTAAGAGCCTTTTCTGACCCGATCTCTCCTGGCAGAGCGGAAACCCCGCCGCCGGGAAGCCATGGCACTGGAAGTCCCCCAAGCCCCTCGTCGACGCCCGCGGACCCGCACCCAATGGTCAGTATTCCTCTTGCGCTCCTGTGACATGTCTGAAAATAAGAAACATTCGAAGCATTTCCAATGCAACTGCAATCCCTCTTCATTTGCCAATCAATCGCGCATTCTAGCTGGCGCCAAAATCGTGGGCGGCACTGAGGCCGTCCCTCACTCGTGGCCCCACCAGGTGGCTCTCTTCATCGACGGAATGTACTTCTGCGGCGGTTCCCTCATCTCCAGCGAGTGGGTCCTCACGGCCGCCCACTGCATGGACGGGTCAGTTCTCCTTCGTCAGCTCTCTTTCACTTCCTTTGTTCACCTGCCTGAGAAACAAGCACAAACATAGCATACACTTTGCAATAAGCTTTCCTTGCATCATGTTCCTCATTTGCAGCGCCGGTTTCGTCGACGTGGTGATGGGCGCCCACAACATCCGCGAGAACGAAGACACACAGGTCACCATGACCTCCACCGACTTCTTCACTCACGAGAACTGGAACTCTTTCCTCCTCACCAACGACCTTGCCCTCATCAGGCTGCCCAACGCCGTTGAGTTCACTGGTCTGTATGCTAGCACACACCTGCACTACAACTGAATGTGACTTACAATGCAACTGCAAACCTTAACTGTATTATCACCTCTAACTAATCAATCACCACAATGGAACGTTACAGACAACATTTCCACCGTCAAGCTGCCTTCCTCCGACGTGGCTGTGGGAACCACCGTCACCCCCACAGGATGGGGCCGCCCCTCTGACAGTAAGTGCTTCACCTCCTTCTTCACTGCTTTTTGTCTTGCTATTTTTCAAGTGGATTTAGCGTGTCCGTTTTCTTTCTGACCTACATTAAAGATGACGTTTCCGCACAGGCACCGGCAGTATCTCCAACGTCCTTCGTCAGGTGGACGTCCCCATCATGACGAACGACGACTGCAACGCCGTGTACGGCATCGTGGGTAACGGCGTCGTCTGCATTGACTCCGAAGGAGGCAAGGGAACCTGCAACGTAGGTGTTCCTCTCTCTTCCCCCTTGCAACATGCCCTCAGCAGTATGAGTGAGTAAATTGCTCAACTTTTTCTTGTGTTCCTCTCCAGGGTGACTCCGGCGGCCCCCTCAACCTCAACGGCATGACCTACGGCATCACCTCCTTCGGTTCCTCCGCCGGCTGCGAGGCTGGCTACCCCGACGCCTTCACCCGTCTACTACTACCTGGACTGGATCGAGCAGAAGACCGGCGTCCCCCTGAACAGACCTCGGACCCACAAACCTCTGGCGTTCTGCTTCGAACTTGGCCTGAGTCTGGAGTTGAACTGACCAGACTTTGCCTGTACCGATTTTATGTATAATCTAATACAACTTAATAGAACCATTTCCGTTTTTTATTGACATATTTTTTTTTACATTACTCATTTGTTGAGGTTGAACACTGGAATGAATGTGCTGGAAACAGATGAATGTAAATGCAGTATAACTGTACAGACACGCACACACATATATATGTGCATATATATACATACACATATGCACATTCACACACACACACACACACACAGGTACATGCCGGGGAATTCTCTTTCATTTCATGCCTAAGGTTATCCATTCTGTTGCGAATTTCCACCTTGTGCAACTACAAAATTCACGTGTGAATGATATGATAAATAAATAAATATGTTTATAATGACACACATGTGTTGTATATATATATATATATATATATATATATATATATATATATATATATATATATATATATATATATATATATATACTTAATGACACACACATGTGTGTGTAATATGTATAATATATATATATATATATATATATATATATATATATATATATAATATATATATATATTATATATATATATATATATATATATATATATATATAATATATATATATATATATATATATATATATATATGTATGTATGTATATGTATTCATGTACGTGTGTGTGTGATATATATATATATATATATATATATATATATATATATATATATATATATATATATATATATATATATATATATATATATATATATATATATATATATATTATATATATATATATATATATATATATATATATATATATATATATATATATATATATGTATATGTATATGTATACACACACACTCATACACACACACATATATATATGTGTGTGTGTGTGTGTGTTTCTTCCTTTGCCTTTTCCCGCTCCTCAGCGGGGTCGGCCTTCTTGACCAACCTCCTCCACTCAGCCCGATTCCTCTACCCGTTTCCTTGCAAGTTCTTTTCTTTTAAATCTCTCGTTATATTCTCCATCCATCTTCCTTTCAGCTTCCCTCTACCCCGTCTTCCATCCACCTCGTTCCATTACCATTCTGCCAACATAATCTTCTCTTCTCATTAAGTGTCCATACCACTGCAATCTTCTTTTCCTGTACCTCCTTTGAAAACTTCTCAACCTTTACTGTCCCTCTAATCCTCTCGTTCCTAATCTTATTTAGTATTTGGTACCTCTCCATCTTCATTTCCTCAACCTCAAATCTTCTTTCTTGTTACTTTTTCGTTGGCCAAGTCACTGCACCACAAATCATAGCCGGCATTTCAGTTTTGTAAAATTTGTCTTTAACTCTTGCGCTTATCTTTATGTCACACAAAACGCCAGACATCTTTCTCCAACTCATCCAACCTGCCTGCACTCTATGTGTAAATTCCGGATCCATTTCTCCATCCTTGGATACCACTGATCCAAGGTACTTCAACTTTTCAACTCTCTTCAGTACTTCATCTTGCATTCTCTTTCTCCTTCCTCACAGAAATTGGATTTTCTGGCTCTTAATTTCAGCTTCTATCCTCTAAAGCCCTTTTCCATTGGTCTAATTTACGCTCGATCTACTCTGGTAGGCGATAAAAATGTCG